CTGAGCTTCTTCTTTGGGCAGACTTAACCTCATGACTACAAATCTAGGCATAACATCCTGAAGCAGTAATGGTTAGGAAGAGAAACATACCTTCTCTTCCTTGAGCCTCTTTTTTAAATAAAGGACAATTTTTCTAGAAGGTTCTAGAAATTTCCAGTCACAGCTCTTTGACCAGAATTGTGTTACATGACAATGCTTGAGCCTGTCACTGCTAAAGGAATTGAGATTATCATGATTAGCTTAACTCAATGGAAATCTCACCTAGAGGCATGGCGGTGGGGGGTGGGTTGTGCAGTGTATACTGGAACAAAATGAGAGAGTATTATTTCAGCAGAGAGAGAGAAAGAATAAAATCAATATTGGGGAAGAAACTAATAGTGTCAGCTACACCTTTGTTTTAAACAAAATTGTTTTCTACCACATTTCAAAGTCACACGTTTTAAGTTGCCAACATAAGGTCCCATGGCTGATTAAAAAGAGAAGTAGGATTCAAATCCAGGTCTTTCAGACTTCAAAGCCCACCCATGTACTTGTTCTGCTGCACGGCTGGACCCGGAGTCACGCTGTGTTTCCCAGAAAAGCCAGGCTCCCTCCCTCATGGTGAGCGCTTCAGGAGTTGAGGCAATTGCCCTGCTCTCCCAAGCCCGACCTTCAGCTGGGCATTTAATCTGTTTATTAAGTTATGACTAATGGCGCCGCGAGACACCGAAGGCTGCACATTCAGACCTAGTTTTAGATTGTTAGAGGAGGTTCAGGGGAAAACATCATATTCATATTCTATGCCGAGAAAATTCAATTGTAGCTCTTTCTCTTTCAGAGTGCAGGGATGGCGAGGGGCTTCTGCTGCGTCCTGCTTTGGTTTAATAGAAATGAAACCTCCAAAGCACGTGGGCTGATTTGGGAACGTGGCCACTAATGCAGCCTCGCCGGGCGGGGGCAGTGGGTGGGGGGGTGTGGGCCAAGCCTGAGCTGGGCAGTTTGCATATTCACTTTTACAAACAGTTGGCTCGAAGTCAGCAGTTAATGGGATGGGAATGATGTTCCTGTACCAAATCATTTCCTGAAAAAAAAAAAAAACATTTCCAATTGCAAACATATCTCAGCCTTTCTTCTCGGGTTTGTTTTGTCTCTGTGAGTGAATTAAAGAGGCAGGGCAGAGGGGAGTGTTTCTGACTGGGGATTTTTCATCTAAAAACATTTTTAACAATGATCTGCACAGAAAAAGAGGTCCTGTTCAGACCCACATTTAGGAGCCCTGCCTGCAAGTATGGTGTTCTAGCCACACGTTAGAGGTATAAATATCTCTACACTCACAGATGGGCTCTTAATGGACAACGGTCTTGGGACAGAGGTAGCTTTTTTCTCTTTACAAAAAGTAAGCTGGAAATGCTGCCCTAGAAATGTGCCCACACACGCACACACAGGATCAGGCCAAAGTATGATTTTCCTCTCCTAAGGACAGGCTGAAAGTCGTCTTTGCATGCTATACACGGCTTTGGTAAATTGTGCTTCAACTTATAACCTGTGCAGTGGAAGGGTAGTCTTAACAGGTTCATTCATTTATTCAACAAAATGGTCCTTGAGTGCTTATCATTTTAAGTAATAATTGCAATTAATTACATAGCTCTTAACCAGGTACCAGACACTCTTCTAAATGTTTTACATGTATTAACTCATTTAAACTTCTCAATAACTCTAGGAGGTAGGCAATATTATTATCACCCCCATTGTGCAGATAAGGAAACTGAGGTGTAAGATGGATGAGCTTGCCCAAAGTCATGTACTGGTAAGTGGTAGAACCTGGATTTGAGTGTAGGCAGTCTGACTCCTCTTCAGAGATCTAATAGCGAACAAAAGAGAAAAAGTGCCAGTCTTTCCACAGCTTACATTCTGTTGAGGAGGGGATAGATAATAAATGTAGAAATAATAGTTATTTCAGATTGTGATGAGTGCTATGGAGAAAATACAACACAAGAGGGAGGCAGGGGGCTATTCAGAGGGTCTTGTAGGTCTTAGGAAGGAATTAGGGTTTTATTCTGAGTATGATGGGAATTCCCAGGTGGCAGTAGTAAAGAATCCTCCTGCAATGCAGAAGATGCAGATTCAGTCCCTGGGTCAGGAAGATCCCCTGGAGAAGGAAATGGCGACTCACCCCAGTATTCTTGCCTGGGAAATCCCATGGACAGAGGAGCTTGGCGGGCTGCAGTCCACAGGGTCGCAAAAGAATCAGACATGACTGAGCAACTAAGCATGCACATGAGGGGAAGCCACAGGAAGGCATAAAGCAGGAGAATGTATGATCGTGTTTACATCTTTATAGGTCATTCTGACTGTGCCCTACGAAGTAGACTGGCGTGGGGAAAATGCATCAGAAAGCAGTGGGCAGGTTAGAAGGTGGTTCTGGTTATTTAGGTGAAAGATAACAGTGGCCTGAACCAGAATAGTGATGATGGAGCTGGTGAGAAGTGGCTGGAATAGGGTCCTGTCTTGGAGGTGGAACCCAGAAAACTTGCCAATGTATTGGCTGCAAACAGTGAGGAAAAGAAGAAGGGAAGGGTGATTTGTCAGATTTTGGCTTGAACTCTTGTGCAAATGGTAGTGCCATTTACTGAGGAGGATAAGAAGGAAGGTGGACAAGTCTTGATGTAGTGTTGTTACAGTGGAGGTAAGGGTGCTGAAGATCATGTGTTCTGTTTTGAATGTATACATTTGAGATCTCCATTAGTAGACAAAAGAGGAGATACTGAGTGAGTCTGGAGCTCAGGGTTAGGCCTAGGCTAGAGATTTTGTTTGTTTTTATTTGTTTCTGGTTCTTGTTTTAGTAATGAGTTGACTGTTGTTTTCACAGCCCAATGAGGCTGGGCAAATAAAACCACTCAAAAGAATAAATTAGGATAGAGCTTGGTTGTTTTTGTACATGAAGAATATCTAGGAAAAGGCTTCATTTTTATCCTATCCCTGATTTTGTTGCCTTGAATTCAGTTTTAGATAATAAAATCTTATTAACTTTAAAAATATATAATACAGCATACATCAGGCTGGAGATTTAAATTTGGATATCATCAGCATTTGGATCTATGGGATCAGCCAGGATAGCACCATCCAACTGAATCTTCCATGATAATGGAAATCTACATCTGCACTGTCCAGTAGGGTGCCACCTGCTCCATGGGGGCCACTGAGCACTTGAAATGTGACAGGTGGAACTAAAAAACTGAGTTATTAATTCATTTAAACTTCAATAGCTGCATGTGGTTAATGGCTACTGTATTGGACAGCACAGATCTGGTGGCAGGGTGGGGTGGGATGGAATATACAGGTGGAGAAGGTTCTGGGCAAGAGCTAGTCTCTTCACTGTTCACTTAACCCAGTCTCACACCCACACTGAAATATAACTTTATTTCCACTTCCCATTGCCTGGGTAGTGATGCTTGTTAAGTGGTAGAAATCTTGCTTCTTTGTGAGAAACAGCCTGGAAAAAAAAGCAAACTGCTAGTCCTAGGAGGAGTGCTAGGAGACATTATAAAGTCTCAAGAAGCAATTGTGCTTTGCTGGAAAGCAAACACAAGCCCCTATTTATAGAATCATTTAAACCTTGAAAGTGTCACTTATATTTTTCAATTATGCTTGGTGGGGGGAATTATATAGACTGGTGGGTGTCTGTGGATTTGGAGATTCAAGATGGTGCCTGGCTGATATCCCATTTGAATGTCAAGAGCCCACAGCAACAGGACTGAATACCAGCTTCATAATGCGAGTTGTGTCTCTCTAGGGCAGAGTGGGTTTCACTCCCTTTGTTAGGCAATCTCACTCCCCATCCAACTGCAACCATCAGTGACGTCTGCTAATATGAAAGAACTCTTTGTAAGCAGCTGCCTGTGCTTAAGAGTACTTGCAAGTGTATGCTGGCAATGGGTGAGGCCAGAGTCAATACAAAAAAATAAAATGGAAAGATGGGACATTGCTTTTACTAAGGTTGATTGCAGCTGCCGTTATCACCTCTTTAAGAACCGTTTGGTGACCAGCTCCTTCAGAGGAAATGGCTGTTCTGTGCTTAATTGGTGCAAAGGAACTGCCCAAACTGGAATTGAGTAGAACTGAGGGGATTTGAGTCACTGCTTTTAGGAGAGGTAATAATCCAAGGTCAGTGCTCAGCAAAGGGCCATCACACAGCTGGTTTTGTGGTAGGAATTTGTTTTTTTTCTTTTTTTTTTACTAAGGCTTGGGGGTGGGCTGGAAGTCTCTAGTTGTCACTGACCTCTTGTTATTTTTCTTGAGAACAGTGGAATTGTAGACTTCTAAGATTTGGGAAAGTACAAAAGAACTTGATGGTCACCTATCCAGCTTTTGATGTTCAGCTGAGGGAACGGGCCTGGAGAAGTGAGGTGCCTGACCCCAGGGCCCATGACTCCATATGGTTGAAGGGATAAATCCAGAGCCCAGGGAGAGGCCAGAATGAGGCATCCTCAAGCAGTGCTGGATGGGAGGAGGGAGGTAGGAAGGAGGGAGGGAGGGAGGAAAATGTCCGAAAAAATACACAGGAGCCAATTCAGGAGAGAAGTCAGGGGTGGGTTGACCTGAGAATGGAAAAGGCCTGTGGCTCAAATGAAGCCTTAGCGTGGGGACCTCGTGTATCCAGTCAGCAGAGACTTATCAAGTGTGCACTCTGCACCAGATGGCAAGCCCCTGAAGGAGGGACAGAGGGAGCATGGCAGAGACTTAAGAAAGGCATCAGTGCTGACTTCACTTCCATTTATTCCAAGATCATTTCTGAAAGGAGGCAGATTTCCATGCCCGATTTTTCTAGGAAAGCGAGTGAGGTGACAGTCAGAAGGGGTGAGATGAAGGGGACAGTTTGGTCCTTTTAGCAAGGAGAGGCAGGAATTGGATGCAGGCTGCATCACAGCTGCAGGCTAACCTAGGTGCTTTCATTTCTCAATCTGCATCAATGTGGAACACAGCTATGGGTTGCCACGTAACGCTGTGCTTCCTTCTTACAGTGTCCGAGCTTCAGGAAGAAGGCATGAACGCCATCAACCTGCCCCTCAGCCCCATCCCCTTCGAGCTGGACCCTGAGGACACAATGCTGGGTAACGGGGTCTCTTGTTCTCTCTGGGTTAGCCTGATGCCTTCAGAGCGACCACCTCGCTGACTGCCTTTTCTTTTTAAAGAGGAGAATGAAGTGCGAACGATGGTGGATCCCAACTCACGCAGCGACCCCAAACTTCAGGAACTGATGAAGGTAAGAGGAAATTAGAAGGGGCTTCAGGTGCCTCCTGACTCCACAGGTGTCTCTAGACCAGACACCCTGTGTAAGCTCCACTTGTGCCACTGCAGAGAGAACAGAAATCCACAGCAGGGCCTGGCCACAGGCAGCTTGCAGTCCAGAAGGCAGACATCGACAGGTTAACCGAGGTGGGACATAACAGGTGCCCAAGGAATGGTATTGACCATAGGCACTGGAGAATTTAGTGCAAAAAAAATCTCACATTTGCCAGGATCTTATCACTCATACAGTCCTTTCACCACGTTTCCCAGGGACCCTCAAAAGTACCCTCTGAAGTTGGATTTAGTATCGGGGACCCTCAAAAGTACCCTCTGAAGTTGGATTTAGTATCATCTCCATCTCTGTGATAGATGAGGAAACTGAGTCTCAGAAAAGCCAGGTAGTTGTTCATTTATAGTCATGGCTTGAGTGGAGGAGATGAGATTCAAACAGAAAATGATTCAGATGAAATAACATACTGTGCATAATGTACTTGGCACAGTGACTGACCAATGGTCACCCTCAAAAAATCTCTATTTCACCCCCCTTCTGATTCCCCGTCCTGTGTCTGGCTTCTTCAGCTTCTCCAAGCTGCACTTAAAACAGGACCAAAAGGCACTGGGTGCAGAGTGGTTCACTCAAAATGCAAAGCTGAGTGTATCATTTTCCTGTCCAAAACCTGTGTGTAGCTTCCTATGAACTTCAGGTTGAAGCCCACAGTCCTGGGGGTGGTGTTTGACATCTGCATGCTCCAGCTGCCGCTTTAACCTCAAATCATCCCGGCTTGGCAAAGATGCCCCAAGGACGCCAGACCTCTTCGTGGTGGCTCCCGGTACACACCCACACACGGCATGCTTCTGGCTCTCCCACCACCAGGCCTTTGGTCGTGCATTCCTCTGCGCAGGCGCTCTACTTGCTCTTCGCCTGAAGCCGAAGCCGGTCCCGTCCTCCAGGAAGCCCTCTCTAAACCCCTGGGCTGTCACTCGGCCGCTCTGCCTGCTGCTGTGGTTCATGCATGTACTTCTGCCCTGTCGTCATCACGTGATGTTCCAACTACTCACATACCTCTCGGTCTCCTTCACTAAGTGGAGAGTTGCTTGGGGTTTAAGGTTGTCCTTTTTTTTTCATCAGGGACAATCTTTTTTTGTACCCTCAGGATCCAGCACAGAGTGACATATAGCAGATATTAATAAATGCTGGATGCATAGATGTTGGATGGATGGTTGGATGGATGAAGGAGAGAAGGGAGGGAAGGGGAAGGGGAGGAGGGAGGGAGGAAGCATGGAAGCTCCTGCCTTAGGCCAGTAGAACAATGTGTTTTGAAAGCCCGAGCCTCCACTCGAGGGTGGAAACCTAGCCCAGCTCCTGCCTGTGTTGTAAAGGCAATCCGCTTGTGCCGAGTCAAAGAAGTCAGACACAAAAGGTGATGCTCTGGGGCCGTCCTGGCAGTCCAGTGGTTAAGACTGCATGCTTCCACTGCAAAGGGGTGTGGGTTCAATCCCTGGTCGGGAACTAAGATCCCACACACCATGTGGCATGGCCCCAAAACAAAAAAGGGTGATGTTCCGTTTAGGTGAAATGGTCAAAAAGTCCGAACCGTAGTGCTTGCCTGAAGCTTGTGATCAGGAGTGGTGACCGAGCGCAGAGAGACCAGAGGGACCTTCTTAGGGTAAGGGAACTGTTCTGTGTCTTGATTGTGGTTGTGGTTACACAACCGTGTACAGTGACCAAAAGTCATCACACTGTATACTTAAGATTGGTTAATTTTATTGTATATGAATAATACCTTCATAAATAAAGCAAGAGGTTGAAATTAAAAAGGCAGTGGCCTTGTGCAAGCTTCAGTTTCCTTACCTGAAAAACGAAACTGATGCTACCTGCCTCTCGGGATGCCGTGTGGATTAACTGAGTGACTGATCACCTAGAACGCCTCTGCTGGATGCCTGATGCACAGAAGCTAAGACACGGACCCTGGAGGACACTGCACAGCGCCACTGAGAGGCAGCCTGGCGCAGGGAGCAGAACATGTGCTGTGTGTAGAGCGAGGTGGACAAGAGTGGCTATTCCTGTCCCTGCCCACAGTTAGCTCTGGGACCTTGGGCCGTGTTTACCTCTGTGTTTGGTTTTACCTCCTGAACATAGGGGTGATAGTAACCACCTGGCCACATGTCATAACGGGACAGTGCTTTATTTATTAATGAGATCTGCCCTTACTGGACGTTTGGCCCTTGCTGTATGTAATTCCTTTCTTTTTTTCCCTGATATTGGTTTTGGTTTTTGGCCACTCGGTGTGGCATGTGGGATCTTAGTTCCCTGACCAGGGATCAAACCCGTGCCCCCTGCAGCTCAAGTGTGGAGTCCTAACTACTGGACCACCAGGGAGACCCTGTAATTCTTTTCTACCACCTAGTGTGGGAGGTGCCTTCAACTTCCACTATAGAGTTGGGGAGTCAGAGGTTCAGAGCAGATAACTAGCTTGCTGTAGATTCATAAATCACAGAGATATACACACAGCGGTTCATGGATGACAGAGGTACACACACACACACACACACATGACAGTCTATCGATCCCAGAGATGCACAAATTATTTTAGTAGGTAAAGTGAGGGTTTCAACCCCAGTTTGCATGACTCCAAAGCCCATCCTGTCCTGCCTGCAAAGCCACACAGCCAAGCACTGTGTGAACGTTCTTGCCGTTTGGGGAAGGGAAGTTGGGGCCAGGGGTGTTAGCAGAGACACTGGTGCCACCAGCAGAGCCTGTACCTGCAGGTTAACAAGAGTGTTGGGCTCACACTCACAGCTGCTGGACACATGCTCAGGCGTGTGGATAATTCGGCTCCTTTCAAACTCCGAAGTTCATTCAAATTTTAACTGTCCAGGATGAGAACACAGGTGTGCAAGGAAACACCCTATGACTCTTCTCTTATTCTCTCTCTCTGGGTAGGTATTAATTGACTGGATTAACGATGTTTTGGTCGGAGAAAGAATCATTGTGAAAGACCTCGCTGAAGATTTATATGATGGCCAAGTCCTACAGAAACTTTTTGGTAAGAGGAGAGTTGAATGTCGAGCAGTGGGTGTCTTTAAATCTAGTTTGGAGCTGTTCTCCGGTCACAATAGTTCACCTGGAATGGAATAGGGATGGGTAGCCTTGGGCTAGCAGACCAGTGAAATGTACTCTTGGAGTGTTTTACTTGAACGCATTGCAAAGGGAGGCTTTGGGACCAGACAGGATTGCTCCGCCTAGCAGCTGAGAATCACCAGCAGGGCAGATGACAGGACTCCACTGCGCACTGAAAACATGCCTCACCTTCTCCAGAAAATTGTGCACCTGTGGCCTCTGTAGGTGTGTTTACATGTGCGTGGATCTGCGTGGGTGTGTTTGTATACGTTTGTCACCTATAGACCTGTACATGTGTGTGTGTGCATGCATATATGTATACCTCTGTGATCTGTGGCCTTGTGTGTGTGTGTGTTCCTGTGTGTATCTCTCTCCAGTTGGTGCAAGTACGCAGGTGTGTGGACCTCTGTGACACTTGGCTCCCGTGTGTCTCCAGGTGTCTCGCCTCTGGCAGCGTATGCATCCCTGCGTCAGTTCACAGCTGTTATGTGAAAGTGTGAGGCTGTTGGGGAAGGAAAGGAGTCTTCCAGGTGATATTAGTGTTGAGAGGACAGATTCATCGTGACTGGATTCGGACTCCTCCTCTCTGTCCCCCACTTTCTGTCATCCTAACCGCTGCCCTAAGTTCTAGACTCTCCTTAGCTTCCCACTAGGGCCTCACACTGAGCGCATCCCCTTTCCTAAGGATGTTTCTTTCCTTCTGAGTGAGTAGATCCCCGTCCTCTCTTCCCTGCCCCTCCGTGACTGTGGGGCAGGGGGTCTCCATGGCCCCATTTCTTGCTCAGAATTCTCTCCCGCATCCCCTCCTCCCTGCCATTTTTACTTGTCTGAATTGTTGAAACAATTTCTGAGCTTACCTCTTTGCCTCCCATCTCACCTCCTCCAACCCATTCCCCTTTGCAGGGGGGCTGCTGATGGAGGAACCTTTTTTAATTGCAAGGCTCATTTTGTCGGTCCTCGCTCTCCCGTACCTGTGGGACAAAGTCCAGACCTGTTAGCACAACATTCAGAACACTGCATCTGTCTTGGCAGCCTCACCCCCAGTCACTCACACGTGTGGCTCATGCCGTGTAAAACGCTTAGAATCATACCTGACACACAGTGAGTGTCCAGCCAGTCGGTATCTTTTATCATTTCATTGGTAGTTATGCCATCTTGAACACTACGCCATATTATGACATACACTGGGCATAGTCACACCTCTTTTCTTTTGCCTTTTCTTTTCTTCTGCCTCTGGGGCCCTTCTTCCCCCTTTATCCACTGAGATAAACCATTATCGCTTATTCTTCCTATCTGTAGAGTCAACCAAACGTGCCTCCCCTCACGACATAGTCACATCTGGAAGAAACAGTTGTGTGTTCTTCTGTGTTCCCTCAGATATAGATACACACACGTGTATGAAGCATTCATGCTTTTATTATATAGATACATACACATGTACATAATATGTATGCCTTTGTTATATAGGTATACACACATATATATAATATGCATGCTTTTGTTATAGATACATAAGACATGTATACATAATATATATGCCTTTATTATTGTAAGACATTCCATTTTGTTTGTAGCTGTTTATGTAGCTCAGCTGGTAAAGAATCTACCTACATTGCAGGAGACCCTGGTTCGATTCCTGGGTCAGGAAGATCCCCTGGAGGAGGGATAGGCTACCTACTCAGGATTTCTTGAGCTTCCCTGGTGGCTTAGATGGTAAAGAATCCACCTGCAATGCGGGAGACCTGGGTTCGATCCCTGGAATAGGAAGATACCCTGGAGGAGGGCATGGCAACCCACTCCAGTATTCTTGCCTGGAGAATCCCCATGAACAGAGGAACCTGGCAGGCTACAGTCCATGAGGTCATAAAGAATCAGGCACAACTGAGCGACTAAGCACACATGTATAAGTGTATGTAGGCTTCTCAAGGGGCAGGAGCCATGTCATATTCCTTTTTCCAGTCTTCTCCAGTAATAACACATTGCCCATCACTTAATCAATGTATACTGAACAAATGAATGAATAGTATAAAATCTAGTAATGTCTAGGAAGCTAAGCTCATTTGGTACTCAAACATCAATATTAATGAGTATTAATATTTAAAGGCTCGTAAATGTAACTGAACACGGAGGGGAACGCGCTTTGGCACATGCAGATGTGGAAAAACCCTGAGCCTCACTGATCACCTCTCCTAGCATTTGTAGCTTTTAACTTCACCACCACATTTCTAGTTGGGACTTGACACTGTCTGCAAGTGTTCTATGCTGGTCTTTCCAAGCAGGTGTGGGACATGGCTGTGGGGTAATGGAACATGGTCATGAAGCAATCTCGCCTCTGGGAAAGGTTACAAAACTGCCCAGCATCATCCATGCTGCCCCAAGTCAGGCATCAAGTACAGTCAGGTTAGACCACCTCGGATCTCAAACTTCACGTTGAAAAGGTGATTAAAAGCAGAACTGATGCCTCTTTTGTCAACCTAAGTGTGAGTTTAAGGCTAGACATACACATTCAGAAGCTACAGACAGCATGCCCACTGGAGAGAACTCGTTTGCAGTTTAAAATGTGCATCAGGAGCTCCTGGGAGGAATCGGTCTGGAGATGGGAGTTTTGGGTGACCCCTCTGACCTGGAGTTCCCCTCGAGCTATTTTCCTTTCTTCGTGCCCAACCGCATCTCTCAAAATAATGGTTGGCACGCCCTCTCCCTGCCTCCCCACCACTGAGCGCTCCCTCCTGAGGTACGGGCTGGGTGCCACCACCTTGCCATCAACTTTTCCTTCCCACGTCACCAGTGTCACCTGAGTTCCTCTTCCGTGGTGACACTTGCCCCTACTGAACCTCTCATCTGCCTTCCCCGACCCGACTGTTTCTGGGACCTCATGCTGCCCGGTTTCACTTCCACCTCTGACACCCGCTTCTCAGCCGTCCTCCTCTGTGCATCTTTCCATAATGGTTGGCTTTCCTCCAGCTTCCACCCTTGGCCTCCTTCTCTTTTTCTTTTATACCTTCTTCCTGGGTGACTTCATCTGTCCCTACAGTTGTTTTTTTTTTTTTTTCCATTTGTTTTTATTAGTTGGAGGCTAATTACTTTACATCATTGCAGTGGTTTTTGTCATACATTGAAATGAATTAGCCATGGATTTACATGTATTCCCCATCCCAGTCCCCCCTCCCACCTCCCTCTCCACCCGATCCCTCTGGGTCTTCCCAGTGTACCAGGCCCGAGCACTTGTCTCATGCACCCAACTTGGGCTGGTGATCTGTTTCGTCCCTACAGTTTCAACCATCAACTACATGATCATCACCCTCAGATCTCTATCTCTGGAATAGCTCTCTCTTTGAAGCTGTGAGAAGGTTATCTCTTCCCAGTCTGCCCACCTGCATGTCACACACATGTCAACCCACCTGCCCCGAACTCAGCTTATCTTCCTCCTCCCCAAACCTGTTTTGTCTTCCACCTTGAGGAATGCTATTATGAGCCCAGATTAGAAACCTGGGGGTGATCCTGAATTGCTCCTTCTTCCCTCATATTCTGTTGGTCATGGTTCTGACAACGGTATTCCCATATATACGTGTCAAACCCATCTCATGTCTCAATCAGCTAGAACACGTGCAGCGTTTGTAAAAGTGCCTGGGTCACTGCGCACTAGGTCAGGGGTGGCTGTCACCAATATTTTCCAACCCTACTGCTGCCTCCTTAGCTCAGAGCCTCGTCATTTGTCTTAACTTCTCTGGCTCCAAACTCCTTTTCTTACAGTAAGCTGTTTCCTGCCTCAGAAGCATTCTGAAGTTCTCCCAGATCTTTATATTTCACAATTTGTTTCACCACTTAAACCCATAGCCCATGTGTCAGTGTTTCTTTAAAACTTTTTTATTTTGAAATAATTTTTAATAGAGTTGCAGAGACAGCCAAGAGGTTTCCCGTCTCCCTTTACTCAGCTTCCTCTAATGTCAACATCTTACCAAGCAGAGGGGAAGCATCAAAACTAAGAAATCAACCTCAGGACAGTGCTTAACCGAATCGCAGAATTTATTTGGATTTCCCCAGTTTTTACATTCATGTCTTTTCTTGGTTCTAGGAGGTAAACCCAGAATCCCCCATTACATGCAGTTGTCACGTCTCCGGTCATTCATGACCTTGGCACTTTTGAGGAGGACTGGTTAGTTATTTTGCAGAATGGCCCCCAATTTGGGTCTGTCCGATGTGTTCTCATGATTCGAGTTGTGTGTTTGGGGAGGGGTGCCACAGAGCTGATGTGTCCTCAGTGTGTCATTTCAGGGCAGACACAGTGTTACTGTGACTGGTCACTTTTGACATTAACCTTGACCACTCAGTTAAGGTGGTGTTGGCCAGGCTTTCTTCACTATAAAGTTTTACTATTTTTCTCTTTGTTATTAACTTATTTTCAGGGAGATACTTTAAGACTTTGAACATATCTTGTTTTTTCTTACACTCGTCCCACTAACTATAATCGGTGGGGCATGTCTGCTGGTTATTACTGTGGAGGTCTAGTGGAGGTTTTCTATTTTCCTGTTCTCCCATTCCTTCTTCATTTATTAATTTGAAGTCATCTGTAAGGATAAGACTTACATATGTATTCAGTATTTATTTATATTAATATGGATACAAGGATACTTAATTTATAATCATTCGGTTCAGTTCACTTCAGTTCAGTCACTCAGTCGTGTCCGACTCTGCAACCCCATGAACCACAGCACACCAGGCCTCCCTGTCCATCGACTCCTGGAGTTTACCCAAACTCATGTCCATTGAGACAGTGATGCCATCCAACCATCTCATCCTCTGTTGTCCCCTTCTCCTCCTGCCCTCAATCTTTCCCAGCATCAGGGTCTTTTCAAATGAGTCAGCCCTTCGCATCAGGTGGCCAAAGTATTGGAGTTTCAACTTCAATATCAGTCCTTCCAATGA